GCCCGAAGAACCTTAAACCTCGGACCAAGTTTTTCCACGCCTCTTTCCGCCTTCCACTTTAAGGTTTTAGGCGCCTTTAGACCAAAGAAGTGGTTTAGTTGTTAGATTAGATAGATAGTTTAGTCAGATATTAGTTTAAAATTAACAGCACCAACCTTCTCAATGCGCACACTCCATGAGTGCATTTCACATGCACTTTCCATATCGTATATACGCAAAATAACGTTCGTGGGCGTTATTTTGAAAACCAGATCCTTCAGAAATAATTTATATGGTCTCGAATTAGCACTCATGGACGTCCTGAATTAACGCACACCTTAATGTCGCACATAATTTATTATTGTAATAAATGATGTACAGTCGATACTCCATATGCGCACACTCTATAAGTGCACGTGCATTTTCCCTGGTTTGCCGATAATTACCCGGCAACCACTTCTCCGAAACTATTTCCCCGAAAAATATTCATATTCCCGACAACCATTACACCGATACTCCCTTCCCAGGTATGACTGGTTATGTCGGGAAAATGGTTGTCGAGGAAATGATTATCGGGAAAATGGTTATGGCGGGAAAGTGGTTGTCGGGTGAACCATAATGATACCGTATAATCCTAATTTCGCATGTAATTTATTATGATGTACGATCGATACTCTATATGCGCACACTTTCACTATAATGATAAGTGCACATAATTTGATCGGTCTAATGTAATTACTTAATATTATATATGAAGGTTATTCTCCATAATGAATATTCTATAAATGTACTTTTACCTAACAACGTGAATTTGTGGAAGGTTAACTGTATCGGTTTTAGAAAATTTTCTCTTATTTCGAAATAACGCACATGGGTGTATTTGAAATAACGCGCAAGTCAATTAATTTGCTCGCAAGGGGCGTTATTTCGCGTTTATACCGTATAATTATAGGGAAAGTGCATGAGAAGTGCATGTGAAGTGCACTTATAGAGTTTGTGTATATGGAGTATCGACCGTACATTATTTATCGCAACAATAAATTATTTATGAAATTAGGATGCGCGTTAATTCGGTCCATACATGTTATTTTTGAAGGATCTGATTTCAAATAACGTTATTTCCGCTTATACGGTATTAAAATTTATTATAATTTGCAATTTATTTATTGGTTGGCGTAAATTTTTTGAATGATTAATGCCGCCAACCTGGCACACACTTAAGAGGTGGTGGGTAATATCAAATCCGGTATATTCATACACGAACAGTAGCGGTATATTACATAGCACAGCACATTAACATGTGAAATCATAGTTTTTTAACGCCCAATCAAATGCAAGATTTTGCGAACTCGTCATTCTAGATGGTAAGAAACCATACACTCCGTGATACAAGCATTACTACGTTCCTGGTATTTGTGATCCGCGTGAAAAAACATAGTAAATCGTGTAAATTGATATTCTACTAAGTAACCCTTCAAAATTAAGTAAAGGTTGTATAGAAGAGAATTCCGGTCATAATGGCGGTTAAATCATTAAAATCGGATCAGTGAATCACGAGATATGAGCATTTTTGGCTTTGCAACTATATAGTCGCGGAGCCAGAAATGCTCATACCTCGTGACCCACTAAGCTAATTTTAATGTTTAACTGTTATTATAACGGAATTCACTTCTCTACATCTTTTACATAATGTGAAGAGAGGTTTATTTAGTAGAAAAACAATTTGTCTTTTGGAAAACTCCAAATTCCGAAAAAGGCAAAAAATATATACAGTAATAAATATATCTCCACTGTTTTACTATGTTTTTTTTTCACAGGCTTTTAAGCGAATCATGAATTAAGAATTTTTTTTATTCCACTCATAATCATCAAAAATTTCATATAATTTCAAATAACATCTTGTCTTTTAATTCAAGTGATATTAAAAAATATAACCCGTAAAATAGTAAACCTAAAGATTCTCTCTCAAATTTATGGTTTACTTTTTTAATCGTTTGTTATTTAGTGAAATATTAAAGGTTAAAATTAAGTGGTTTCTCAAATTTCAGACTAAATATCCTTTTAATAATTGAAACATGTGATTAGAATCTATAAAAATTATGGAAACTTTGATGAGTATAGGTGAGATGAACCATACATTTTTATTCTAAGAAATAAAATAATCGGTAAAAGATCCCGTTGCTTTATTAATCAAAAAAAAAAAAACTTTGAAATAACAACATTTTGCAAGATACATATAAAAACCAATTTAACTAATAATAATTAGTCAATGAATATAACATAAAAATAATAAACAAGAATAGATATTAGAGAAATAGATATTTATATTAAATTCATAAATTAATTCATTAATTGCAACCAAAACTCCAATCACCAACATCGCCGGTTATACCACAGATACTATCGGCATTGAAAGGACCTCGGACTTTTTCCTCCCCACTACTGCCTGCAACTTTCCCAACAACGTAATATGTCTGATCTTCAAAATAAAAGTGTGTATAATCGTCTCCATCACAACTTACGTAATCAGAATTACCGGCTATGCGATAACGATAATGATTAGCATCTTCTATCCAAACTCTGCAAAAAGCGCCCACATTCCTTAATACTTGAACCAGCATAGCGGGCTTTTATTCTGATTGGATAATTTTTGTAGATCATTTCGTGATTTTACAAAATCTGATTGGTTA